GTCTAGAATAAATTACACTGATTTTGATTTGAGAGTGGGAGAGAAGTCATTTTAAAAATGTACTTCCAGTGGGTTTTGTGTCTTTGATTATACTTTCTTATTTATGGCTAACATTTCTTCTACCATTATGTCTTTCTATACGTGTTGCTATAGTATTGATGACGTAAGTGTATTACACAACTTATAATAAGAAAAAACATATAGCAATGCATAGCTATTTTAAATAATGTTAAGGTAGACTCTGTCCTTTGTTTGACTTTCCACCTTTCAGATAATAAAGTTACATTCCTAAGAACCTTCTTTGATGAGGTATGTTTTGTTGAATTTTTTTAACCTAACAGATGTTTGGGTAGTTAAAATTCCTCATGAGTATGGTATCCTGTGGTTTTCACAACCTAAGTGCTACCCCAGGAATTTTCCTTTCTTGAGATCTCCCAGTCCTGGTGGTCTATAGGAGATGCACATTATGAGGGTCCCATTTCATTCCAAAGAAATTTCACACCCACACTTCTTTAATATTGAATATTTCTTTAACATTGTAAGTGCCCATTGTGCAACACAAAGGTTTAAAAGATTTCTATGCTGTATGCTCCCACCACACAACTCAAATTGCATTTAAGGATATGGACAATCAGAAAAATAGATGAGTAAAGTGATCCGCAAGTCAATGTTTTAGGTTAAATATTTCTGCCTTTTGTAATTTTGTGCTTCATATCTATATACAAAAAGCATGAAGTAGAGATATAATTATTATAAGATCATTTAAGAAGAAAAACATTTTGACTTCATTCAGTTAACTGGATCAGAGTACATGGGAAAAGCAGTGTTAGGCTGAGTTGGCTGAATGATATTTCCTTATCCACTGTTTTACAGTTGCCTGTTCACACATAGAGAGCAACCCTATTCAGTTCTCAGCTTGCATTCTAATTTGGCTCCTGCAAGGTTCAGTTTTGTTCTTTGTGATCCCATAAAGATTTAATAAAAACATATTTCTTATGCTACAAACCACTTTAAGACTTTTATACTTGTGACTCATATGTGATATTCTGAGCTATTCAAATTTTGAATAATACAAGTTCACACTAGTCATCAAGCACTACTTCTTTATTAAGAACCTTTAAATTTTACTAAGATGTTTAAGTACTTGGGCACAACTTGATGCAATTAGAACAAAACACACACATATCTGACACAGCAAATTTGTATTCTTGTCTTTCCCTCTAACTCAGTTAAATGACTAAGTATTTTGTCTTAAGTTATTTCATGAAACAATGTGCCATTTTGGTTAGTGGTAGATAATATATAACATTAATATTTTCATCCAGATTACCATTTGCAAAATGTCTATATGTTAATCTTTGATATATAGAATCAATATCTAAGCATTGTTTACTGAAAGTATTGCTGCTCTTTAAGATTTTTGTTGTTGACTGTTCTAATTCCCTTTTATTTCAAATGTTTTTTAACCATGTGTACACATATGTAGTACATGTACATATGTACATATATATGTAGTAATATATTGAGGGCCTTTTTCCATTTTTATTGAATTTTTGCAAGGGTTGTACACTGTATTTTGATCACATTTAGTTCCTGTATCTTTTCATCTTTTATAGTAAATTTACTCAGACTTTCCCTGGCTTCATGTAATAAATTTTTCATTTATTATGAAAACATGAAATTCAAAAATTCAAATATGCTTATCATTATAAAAATATTTCCTCCTCTATTAAAGGTAAAAAGTTTCCTCTTTTCTTAGAATAAAGGATAAGTAACCAACTCCTTGTCACAACTTAAAGCATTAACTTATTATTCCCACTCACATATGACTACTAATTTTAAAAGCTAAAAATTTTCATGAATGCAGAGCAAATAATGTATATCATAATGTTTAGGTACATATATATGTATATACACCTTCAAATTTATATATAATCAATTATATATAAAGAATCAATATTGAAGCTTCATTTAATTTCCCATTGAAAACGTAACTACTCTAAGATCTCTGTTGCTTGACTTTATAACTATTTTTTAAATGTTATTTCACATATTTATACATATGTAGTACATGCACACATACACTATGCATATGTAATAACATATGTAGTATCTTTTATCTTTTCTATCATGTATAGAGAGATACAGATATAAAGCCAACTTTCTCAGCAGCCAAAACCCTAATTTCAGTTGTGTTCTAGTCTCTATTCTATTTCTTCTTGTCTTTTGGTTTCTAAGATTAGAAAAGTTATTTCTTCTCAATACCAGAAGGTTCAAAACAATGATACTTCTTGACTAATCTCAAACTGAATTTTATTTTTTCCATGTGTTTCCGGAAATAAAACATAATGATAAGTCTTAAAATTGGGTAGGAAGTAGAAGAATTGAATAAAAGAAGCATTCAACTAGAGAGGTTTGAAAATGTAGCTGTTTAAAAATCCAGCTATCTAGACTCATTTCTGAATTGATGTTATATATTTTCTATGCTAATTAAATATATTCATTAGTAACCTTCAGTGTCTTTGCAAGACATCGTACATTTGGAGTGTTCACGTCCTGACACTGTACAGATAGAAGCAGACTTTGTGAGTGATCTGCTCATGGGGTGCGGGATGGATTCCCTTCATTACAGAAAACACACTGGTGGTTGCAAATGAATAGCCCACAGGCCAGATATGACGCACCTGGGATAAACAACCAAATGATATTTTTAAAATTATAACAATTTGTGACAAGTAAGAAATTGAGTATCTGCATATAAAAATATATAATTTTTCCCATTTTTGCTAGATATCAGAAGACCTAATAATTATGCTGAGTAAAGGATAATAATCAACCAGAGGCAATATAACCCCTTTAGATAACACATTTTCTGTTAATCTCTCACAATTCTTATTACTTGATTATCTCATAACAGCCAATTTCATTATGGTATATGTTTCACTCTTTCAAATAACTTCTAATTTTCTTCAAGGTTTATTCCTTTAGCCAAATTCCCCACTTTCTATCACCTTTGAATTTCTGATTTTGCTTACCGCTATCAGCTGATGTAACTTAAAACTACAGCTTCACCTATGTTCTGATCTTTAAGCGTCTATTTCTTCTAGCTTTTGGAAGCTGTTTAATATTTATTAGAAAAGTTGCTTATTCTTAAATCAGTACATTCAAAATAAGCACTCCTATTGGCTATTTTCAATCTGAATCTATCTTATTTCCACGTTTATCTTTTCTTTGTTTTAGCAATGTCATCGTCGCCACCACATATACTGGAAAACAATTCCTTTTCCTTTATCAACTATGGTTTATTTAATTAACGTTCATTTATTTGGGAAAATCTATACAGTATACACTGGTATCAGGAACTATTCTTGGTAATAAGGAAATAGTAATGATCAACCCCTAAATATTTTTATATAATTGAGTAATTATGTGTTCACCATAATAATATGGTATTATAAAAACATCTACATGGATATTTTAGATTGAGTTGCTGTGGATATTTATTCTGGGCATGGATCAATTAAGTAGAAATCTACACAAAAATCTTCTTCTGTTCATGTTAAGAAAGACAAGATAGAACATTCCAACCAAATGTAAAAGGAAGTTTTTACAAGTTTGTTGTGTTCTAGTAGTAAAAATAGTACACTGTGAGTAGGAGGAAAACGTAGCTGAAAATTGGTTATAAGTTGCCTGCTTTAGGTTTGAAAATGTCAGTCTTTGAGTACAGGAGGCAAATAAGCTCATGGTAACGGTAGCAGTAAGAAACTGGGCTAAAGAAAATGGAAAGACATGTCCTCATGGTGTGGTTGAAGTTAACCAATGACAAATGGAGAAGAAAAGAACACTGTCTGAATTTTCATTTTCTGCAAGCAGACCAATAACAGCATGTGCTAAGACATGAAAGAATAGATGGGGGCTGGGGGCACGGCTCAGTAGTTAAAGAGCCCTGGCTGCTCTTGTAGAGGACCTGGGTTCAGTTCCCAGCGAATACTGTCATTGCTTATAGATATGGTCCATAGGCTTTCATATGTAATTCGTTTGCATTTTAGAGAAAACCTCAGAATACTATGTGGACAGGGTACAAGATAAATAATAGAAATTTATTTACTAGATATGGCTAATACTGCTTTCTAAGCAAATAGGGTGACCGGTTAGTTTTAATATATGAAACTTGTTTCAAGAACAATTGTTACCTACAATTGTTACCTTTGGTGATTTCTATAAATGTGTTTGAAGAGTCTTTTCTTAACTATTGAAGTAATAAACCGTATGTAAATGTCAGAACAATTTTGAGACATTATGTTCATTTGTATTCATATGTCTTTCTTCTCCTTATGTTAATACTCAGCCACTTAGTAATTCTTTTCCCTAGAATACAAGATCCATTCAGATCATCACATTTGCATTGTGTATGCTGTGTGCATGTATTTGGGCATGAAATCAATAAAAACATTTTAAAGTTCTACTTAAAATCCATGAGGTCCCAAGATTTGAAGGGATTGTGTAGGCATCAGTCAAGGGCATTACATGGCAGTCAATAGGGTGCAATGGTATCCCACAAGTGAGTGTTCCCACAATCTTCTGTTGTCATATAAGACTCTAAGACATTGGCACAATTCTGAGATTTTAAGAAAAGTCCTAATAATTACTGAATCTGAATTTTCCATTTACTTTTAATTAAATAAAAATAAATGTATTGGGGTTGGAGAGATGGCTCAACAGTTAAGAACATTGGGTGTTCTTGCAGAAGACCCAGCTTAGAATCCCAGCACCCACATCGCATCTAACAACTGTCCATAACTCCAGTTCCAGGATATCTGACAGCCTCTTCTGACCTCTGCAGGCATTGCACCACATGGGTACACTTACATACATGCAGGCAATACTGGCACACTAGGTAATTTTCACAATTAATGATTTTACCAGATCAGTAAGTAGAAATCATTAATGTAGGTAGAACACAACAAAAAGCAGCATGCATATACCAGCACAATACTCACGGCCAGGAAGGGTTTGTGTAGAAATCCACTCGGAAGCATTGCCATAGCCAGCATTGGTGCTGGCAGCCACTTGGAATCTGTACCACCTAAACTTCTTCAGTCCGTACACTGTCTCTTCTGTTAGGTTTGCTTCATAGAGGTACTGAACTCTTTGATACTCAACACATTCTTCAGATTCCCATTCTCTGCATCTCTGAGCACGAAGTTGAGTGGTTATCTTGTAATTTTGGAAGTATCCAAGGATAGTATATGGTCTTATCCATGTCAGTGTTGCACTAGTTGACTGAACACTGGAAAAAGCAATATTGGTAGGAACACTAGGAACTAAAAATCAAAGGGAAAATTAATATTAGATGCAACTCATGGAGATCTATCACATTACTGTAACACTCTCATTAATATCTTTATGCCTACTAAGCAGAACTTCATGTTGATTCCTTAGGTACCAGGATTTGAAAAGGGGAGGCTACAAAATATTATGATTGTTTTTCAGTCCCTCACTTGGCTGTATAGCCCACTCTGAAGTGAGCACAATTTGACTTCTCATAGAACAAAAACTGTATTGGTATAAAAGAAAATTATATGTTCGTATCATCCTAAATGCTTTCCTAGATACGATCTGAAATTTTACTATTCATTTTCTAATGATGGCATTTAAAAATATTATCTATCTAGACAGACATATAAGCACATCTTATGTATTTTAAGTTTTGATTATAATAAAACAATTTCAAATAAATAAGATTCCTAAATGAATTCACAGAATTAGTTGAATTTCACTCATCTTGTATAAACTTAAGATGAACATTGTCTAGATATCATCCAACACATTGACAATAATATAAAAAGTAAGCTATCAATTTATCATCTACAATCACATGGTCCTACTTCACATTGGTTTTCTAAATGTAAACCATCTATCAGGCTCTGAGGCTAATGTTTGGGATCCAATGTACTGTAAAACTCACATCTTGTTTGTTTATTTATTATTTAGTTTTAAGCTTTAGGAAAATTTTATTTGAATTTTAAAGAAAAATCCTCAGGGCAGGCACACTGCTAATCTTGGCAGCTGCCTTGAGGAGGAGAATGGAGGGGAAAAGGGAAAAATCCACGAGGCCATGCAGGTTTAGAGTCTAAATAGAGGTCAGACATGTGACAGACTGGTGGCCATATGATGAGGAGAAGGAAACTTTAGAGAAAAAGTAAAGAAATACAAGATACTAGGGTAGCCCAAAGCGTTCATGAAAGCATGTTTAGAAAGGAGATGCTACCTGTCTGTGGCTGGGTCCAGAGGCTCTGCTCTAGAAGGCAGGATTCCAGGCAGGGAAAGTTCACTACCTCATTAGCACACTAGGCATTCCACCCATCTATTTAGCATGACTTAAGATGAACCAGCCTTCCTAGGGGTGGTCCTGTGACCAGATGACCAGTGAGACTGGAATGGTGGGTCTTCCAGCAGATAGACTAAAGATTTTGTAGTCTTGACCTTATGGGACTATTTGCTACTTTACCATCCCCCACCTCTGAAGAGGTAACTTTAAAATCTTTCAGAAATTAGATAAGAGCTCCCAGGGCACAGAGTAGGCTGCTAAGATGCCCAAAGACATTTTGGCTTTTAGTCAAGAAAGAAGCTGGCTACTTTTCTTTGGGATCTTTTAGCCATAAACTGCCTAGCCAATTTCTACCTCCTATTCTTTTTAAGAGACAATTTATTGGGAAAGTAACACAAGGATGTTTTAGTTAAAATAGTGAAAAACAATCAGCTAAGTAGACTGGAACATTTCTCAACTGTGTCTGCTCTTGTGTTCCTTCAAGAATAATAATGACTTAGCATGAAAATTCCAAAATTCATGAAAATTATGTTAATGCTTAGCTTAAAAACAAATTTTCAGAAAACTCATTCATTCCTAAATATATCATGTTAGTATAATATTTGACAAATATGTAATGATTATATAATAGTATGGATAATATTATAGGTACAGAAACTACAATGAACAAAAAAACAGACAAAAATCTTTCCTCAGTGAAATTTATGTTAGGGAAAGTTATGTACAATAAAAATACAAGTATTATACATAGTGTCTTGGAAGACGACCACTGTTGTGGAAAAAATAGATAAGGGAAGAAAGAAAGTGTCATGGATAATGACATGCTTGTGGTCTTTTTTATTATTACATTTTTGTATACATTTGTGTTTATGGGGGGGATGGGTCCGCTTGCGTGTTTGCATATTAGTGCTATGGTATGAATGGAGAGATCTGACGTCAAATTATGGGAGTCATTTCTCTATTTCCACTCTGTGTATTCCAGGAATTGAACTCATCAGGTCCAAACCTTAAACTTTAAAACACCAAGCCATCTCACCAGTTCTGATAATGACATTTTAAATTTAAAATGCTAAGTTCTTAACGAAGGTGGGAGAGAGAGAGCTATGTGAATATTTCAAGGAGGAAAATTTCCATCAGAGGAAACCATGATTAAAGATCCTAAGCTGGATGGAAGTATGCTTCGAATGTATGCAGAACAAGAAGCCAGGAGGGACCAGCAGGAGCTGAGGGCTGAGACACTGCAGGCCAGATTGTGTACATTATTGTAGGGTATTGTTATGACTTTCATTTTAGCAGAGGAGTGACAGGCTACATGTGTTTCACAGAATCGCTACTGATACTGAGTGGAGATAGACTGAAAGGAGACTAAAGTGGAAACAAGGAGACTAATTAGCAGCCATTATAATGTCAATGCAAAAGACCATTATGGCCTGGACTAAGATGGTAGAAGCAAAAGTGAAGAGATTTCATACTGTGAACGTGTCTTGAAGGAAAGATGACAGGATTTACTGATGGGTAATTTAGGAAGCATGAGAGAGAGGGAGGAGTGAAGGAAAGTTCTAAAGCCTTGCAAGTGAGCAAATTGAAAGGCATGAACTCTGTAGAAGGTGGAAGGTATTTGAAGAGACATCAAGCATTTCTTTTTAATGTGTTAACCTCGAAAGGCCTCTCAGATGCTCAAAAGGAGATCTAAATGACGGATGCATGTATGAGTCAAGTTCTGTGGAAAAATACTTAGGTTTAAGTTAAAAATATGAATTTCTTCTTAAATTTTACTAAATTATTTGCAGACCTATTATCTATATGTTTTCCCAAATTATAAGACAAAGAATGTCTTTATTATTGGAGAACAATTATATTATTGAAAGTCACAGAATCTGCTTCAATTACTACTTTAAATACCAGTATTTGCCTTCAAATTTCATTGCATAAGGACATTATCTTAAAAATCGTACACTGAACAGCAATATATATGATACACTCAATAATAGATGATGTTTCATTTTTACTTAGAAAAGCGATCACAGAAAAAGAAAGGAAATACACTTGTGGAGAAAGCAGTTTTAGAATTGGCTAAAAAGTAGCAATCCCACATTTTATCAAAATAACTCAGTGATTAAATTTAACTGAGATCATCTGAACATAGTAAAGATTTTGAAAATATTCTAACATAAAGTAGAGAAGTATAAAGACTTCAGGATTTGGGAGAAGTTATGGAGAAGAGATAGTGTGTGATATGAAATTTCACTGGTTGTAATGACAGAGATTCTAGAAGAGGGGGGATAATATAAGCTAATAAATCTTGTCCTATTAAAATATTATAAGCTTGTAAAATTGCTAGCAATAATAAACAGAAGGACTGCACAATAGCTTGGGAACTTACTGTGTCCGAGGGTCTTAGAGATACCTTTGTGGCCACAGAAAGCTACTAGAGTGTCACGGGGAGATGTTCAGAAGCACATTTAACAAGTGTATTCCAGCAAGTATTCAATAGGAAAGGGAAAAATTTATAAACTACTAGATTTGTCAAGGAAAGAAGAAAGAAGATGACAGCAAGAACAAGTTCAGATTTTCATCTCTAAGTCCAAGAGAATGAATGACCAAAATCATAGACTCTCGGAATTTGAAGCACCATTAGAGACCATCTTGGTCAACTTTGTTCTTTATGTTTGAAGAGGCCTCCAAGATCCACAACCCTTATACACATAGCTTCATGTTTTATCAAACATTAATCCAGAGACAAAGGGGAGAAACTTTGTTGTTCTTTTTAGGAGTCTAAATCTATACCTTAAAATAAAAAGCTATCCTGTGGATATAACCATGAGTTCTCTAAAAGGACAACATTTATTTATCTGTTATAGAAGAGTGAAGAAGAGATTTGAATCAACAGATGGTTGAGGGTTAAAACACACAAGCAAGTAAATAATAACATCAAAAACCAACATTCTATTCCTGACTTTGAAGAAGGGGCCTCATGATAAATTATATTTATCATCTCTCAGATATGAAAGGAGACCTTTACTAAGAGCCACCAAGGTATAGGTAACTCAGGCTTTCAAGAGAAGTCAAAGAATGGAATTCTTCCACAACCATGTGAACTTGGAAGAGGTCTTGAATTCCATATGATGATATAGTTGATTGGCAACTTGATTTTGGATTATGAAATTAAATGGAGAACCAGGCACAGGGAATTCCAATTCAGCACTATAAATTAATAATTGGGGTTACTTTAAGTGACATTTTGTGAAAATTTATTATACAACATTGTAAATCCAACACAACTTCCTTCTATAAATGATCAATCACTACTTATGTAACCTCTGATTCAATACTGAACAAAGTTAACTCTATTGGTCTGAACAATCTTCATTATCCTGAACTGATATCTAGTTTTCTCTAAATCTTAATTCTTCACCACTGAAAACATACCCTAAAGAAGTTTAATGTATTTTCATCTTCTCTTCACTCTACTATTCCATGCTGATCAAGAATTTTTTGCTTTTATATTTGTACTCATATCAATGAAAATATTAATGAACCATTACAAAATATGATAAGGTATCATACACTTATAATATCAATGTGCACCTTGGCTTGTGTGTCCCATGATCTATGCTTAGAACAAAATAGTCATTTAATAAATATTTTTCATATATCATCAAGTGAATAGAGACTATAGCATGAGATTTGATTTAGATAGACAGCCAGAACAGACGTTTTTGGTGAGAGATAATTTAATAGGAGAATGGAGAATAAGTGTGCCAGATAAATAACATCAAGTTAAGAGCGAAAGAGTAAAGAAAACATAGCATGTTGGAAACTCTAACAGAAGGCTGTTTGGGTACACAAGGAGATGGATGGAAAGAGAGAAAACCGGGCATTTTGCAGGCTCACATCATGTGAAGCCTTCTAGATTGACTTAAGTTTTTAGTTTTATCCTAAGTGCAATGGTAAGCCTTAAGAAATTTTCTATTGGCCTTTTGTTTCATTACA